ATGTATGTGTTGATTAAATCACATTTAAATTGAAAATTATTTCATCAAAATAGTTGAAATTATTATAAACCCTATTTCTCTCTTTCTTTCTCTCTCTCTCTCTCTCTCTCTCTCTCTCTCTCTCTCTCTCTCTCTCTCTCTCTCTCTCTCTCTCTCTCTCTATCTATCTTTCTATATATATCTCTTTCTCTCTCTCTCTCTCTCTCTCTCTCTCTCTCTCTCTCTTTCACACAAATAAATCTTTAACACCTGTGGACACACACATACATACATGCATTCACACATAATATATATATATATATATATATATATATATATATATATATATATACGGTATATATATTCATACTAACAAAAATAATAATTTATTTGTGAATTACACATGAGTTGCTACTGTATATAATATAAATAATATAATATTAAACTGTATATACAATATATATATATATATATATATATATATATATATATATATATTGGATTCACCAAATATGTCTATACTCACAGAATATTCTTTATAATAATAATAATAATAATAATAAATATATTTGTTTTGTTATTGTTATCTTAGTTTTTAGTTTAGCGCAAAAAAAGTAAGTATACCACAGTTTTTCAGCGGCTTTGCGCACAWACAGYCAKTCAACACACACACACACACACACACACACACACACACACACACACACACACACACATACACACACACACACACACACACACACACACATACATACACACACACACACACACACACATACACATACACACACATACACACACAAATACACACACAACACACACACACACACACATACACACACACATATACACACACATACACACACACACACATATACACACACACACATATACACACACATACACACACATACACACACATACATACACACCTACATGTATTGAGCATACCGTTCCCCCTATTGAAGCCATAAAATAGGAATATTCTCTCTCTCTCTCTCTCTCTCYCTCTCTCTCTCTCTCTCTCTCTCTCTCTCTCTCTCTCTCACTGTCTATGTGTTGAGTGTGTGTGTGTGTGTATGTGTTTGTTGGGTGTGTGTATTTAGTACTAGTGCTTATAATAGTGTTAGTGTTTCAGCACAGTTAGCTGCTGCTGCTGCCAGTAATAGTTATTGAACTGTCAGTGTCTCACTAGTGTRTGTGTGTGTTAGCTAACTATCCCCGTATATATGGTCGGTCTAAACTCTCATATATTGAATATATTGTATGTATATATATACGATACAAAATATATTTATATAGATTTTTATTTACCAATAAAAAAAACTAAAAATTTTTGTGTTGAGCACTGGTAGCTATAATTTTATATATATATTATATATCTATCTATCTATATATCTATCACTTCAAACTTGTCGTCAAACATTTATTTTTGTAGACATATATTGAATATATAAARCAATGAAATAATATATTTGTTTGTTTGTGTTTAAAGAAAATCAAACAATAAATATAAAAATAAATATTTAATTTTTTTTATAAATATATTGTTTATTGTATATTGTTATACACATAACAATTAAACTATTGTTATTTGTTTGATAAAAGTTTTTTTTTGTTTTAATAAACTGATAATTTATTTTTAATATTATTTTTTTGTGATTTTATAAATTTGTGAAGTTATTATGTGTCGACACTTTATATACAGTTTATATATATATAATGTTATATATATTATATAAAATAAATCAATGAAAATATCTAATGATTAAATATATACTATATATATACAGTATATAATATATATATATATGTTTAATAATAGATAATTTTAAATTGTTGTTTATTATTATATTTTAATATTTAAAATACTTTATTAATAAAACAAAAATATTTGTGTATAATAATAATAATATTAATAATAACATTTAAAAAAATTATAGTTAAATATAATTTTTATTGTATATATATATATATACAGATACAGAATATTCTGTATTTATTATTATTATTTATTTGTTTGTTTCTTAATAATAACAAATAAGATTATATTGTTTCTCCAATTGTATATTTATGATAGTCTATTTTATTAGGCCCCCCCAATATACCGGTGCTTATAAATAATAATAATAATAATAATAAAAACAAAAACAACATACGTGTGCTACATCAGGAATTTATAGTAGTARTAATAATAATAATAATAATAAATATAATAATAATAATTGTAAAATAGTGGTCGACTGGGAATTGWCACCAAAAAAATATATATACTGTATATTGATATACAGTATATATATATATATATATATATATATATATGGGAAAAAATATTTTAGATAATCGTATTTTATAAATACAATATCATCTCATAAATTAAGTATAAAAAAAATAATTTTGTTTGTTTTTWKTTTGTTTTTTTGTTACTATTATTTATTATTGTATTTTTTTGTTATCAGGAAATATAATATATATATATAAATACTTTTATTACAACAATAGCTATAAATGTTTTTAATCATAATTTGAATTATTATTATTTTTTAAGTAAATAAATAAATATATATATATATATACATATTAATTGTTGTTAATATAATTAATTAGTGATAAAAAATTATATATATATATATTAGAAAAAAATAATTTTTTGAGACATTTTTTTTAGGAAATAATAATTTTTTTGTTGTTGTCTTAAATTATAAATATTTATAATAATAATAATAATTATAATTATAATATATATAAATATATTATTTTAATAATTATTATTACTATTATTAATATTTTTTGGTGACACATTTATATTTTAAAAATATAATTTATATATTGTTTTTTTATATATAGTGTATCTAAAATATTTTTATTTTTTTTAAAAATAAAAATAAAAATAAATTTTTAATATCGTGTRTGAACACAATTATTTTTGAGACAGCAATAAAAAAAWAAACAAAATTATTATGTTTTAAAATTTTTTTAAAAAGTATATATATATATATATATATATATATTATGATTTTAAAATATAATTAAAAATTATTGTCAATGCTATATATATATATATATATATATATATATATATATATATATATATATATATATATATATATATATATGTATATATATAATAAATATTATGTCTGATATTTTTTATAGTTTAAAATCATATTATTATTATTATTACGACAGTAGACAGTAATTAAGTTTATAATAATAAAAATAATAATAATTATATTTAAATATAGTATATAAAATAAATTTATTTATTTCATGAAATATTATCTAAATAKTAAAATCTATATATATATATATATATATGATAGTATAATTATTGTAATCAATAATCAATATTGATTATATTAAAAATATTTTCATTATTAATGTTTTTATATATTAAATATAAATTATATATAAATTTATTTATATATATATATACAGTATATCAATAWATATATATATATATATAATAATCTATTTAAAAGCAATATATTAATAATTACTTTATATATATACCGATATATATACTGTATATTGAATATCTATTTTACATTACATTACATTTATAATAATAATAATAACAAAAATCAATTTACAGTATAAACTAAATATATAAAAWATCTATCTAATAATTATTATTTTTTTTTGAAAAAAAATCAATAATCCTTAAATACTTAAAAATTGATTTAGTAATTAGCAAATAATAATAATAATAAAAAATTAAAAATCTAGTTTAAGAAAAAAAAAATTTACAATTTTTAGACAACATAGAAATACATTAGAATTTTTGAATATATATTTTTTAAATATAAAAATCAAATAAAAAATATTTATATATTCAAAAAAAAAATAAAATATAATTATATAGACAATTGATTATAACTACTATATTAATTAGAYATAAAAAATTATTATTTTAATTTATATTAATATATATTAAATAATAATAATAATAACAAAAATAACTTATTTTATTAAATATTTATTCATAAAKAATATTCTGTATGAAAATTGTCTAATATTTTATTTTGTTCCATAAATTTAGGAATAAATATATAATAAATATATATTTATTTAACAAACAAACAAATAAAATAAATAAATTTATATTTTATATATATATATTATATATTGATTATATAAGTTTATAATATAATATATATATATATACCAAACAAAAAAATATAATAAAATATATATAAAAATATAATCAACTMATATAATAMTAYACAGTGTTATATAATATTATATTATCAATGGATATCAATATATCCATTAAAACTTTATAAATTAAATATATATATATATATATATATATATATATATATATATAAATATTATTATTATTATTATTATTATTATTATTATTATTATTATTATTATTATTATTATTATATATATATATATATATATATATATATATATATATATATATATATATATACAGTGGTGTCTACAGTATATTCAGTCTACTGTAATGTAAATAATAGATCAACTATTTTTTTTGGGTCTCTAAACGCTTTAATAATATATGAACAACTGTAACGACATCGGCWCCGGTAGTATACTAGACATCATGACTACTACTACTACTACTACTACTACTAGTGCTGGTAGTAGTATAGCCAACARTGGCAATGATCACCTACTGCTGGGGGCGGCCAGTGGTGGTGGTGGTGGTGGTGAACAYCAATTGCTTATGAAATACATGTGCAACGATACAGCCCTACAGTTAATGTTCGGTACAAACTATACGGAAATCAGGGATCTGTTGGCCAATAGTCCATACTATCCMYTACTGGACGATCTGCAACAGGTCGGCGGCGGCGGCGGYGGTGGCGGTGGCCAAGCGATTGACCAATTATYGGGCAGWGKCRGCGGCGGCGGCCAACAACAACAATACAGTGGCCGTCAACACGAAACCGTACGCAACGTTATAACAATTATCGGCTATCTGGCCATTGTATCTGGTATCGTTATGCGGCAATCTACTAGTCCTGAAAGTGGCTTTCGGTAAACCAAAAATGCGTACCACTACCAACATGTTGATTGCAACATTGGCCATATCCGATCTGGTCACTACCGTATTTAAYATACCGTTYAATGTGGCCCGACTRTTGYTACTAAACTGGCCATTCGGGTCCATCCTATGTTTCCTATTGCCGCTCATACAGTGCGCCTGTGTYTACGTATCGACATTTACAATGGCGGTCATAGCCGTACACCGTTGGCATACCGTACGCAAAGCTCACCGACCGCTGGCCACACCTCAACGGCGTTTCTCGTGTTTGCGTCTATCGGCGGTTGTAGCGGTTATCGGACTGTTAGCAYTGGGKCTGTCSCTACCTAATGCCATATTTAACGAAACCAAACAGGCGGTCATCTACGGTACGGTAGTTGTCCGCTGTCGGGTAACCTATCCGCCCGATATTGGCTTCAATATACGCCGATTTCTGACCGTCGAAGTATTTATTACGCAATATTTGACGCCATTGTTTGTAACACTTGTAAGTAATTTTTAATTATTTTTAATTATTTAAAAAAATTTTTTTGTGTAAATAATTAATAATTAATTTTTTTKAATAACTAATTAATTAATTAATTAATTAATTAATTGATAATTTTTTTTTTAATATAAARTTATTTAAATTAGTATTTAATATCAATACTCTATTAGTTTTTTTGTAAATAAAAATATTACTATTGTATAATAATAACAATTTAATTTTTTATAAAGTTATTTAAATTAGTTTTTAATATTTTAAAAAAAAATCATAATTAGTTTTTATAATAAAAAATATTACTAKTATTATTAATAATAATTTATTTAAAAAATAATTTACAATTAATTTTTTTTATAATAAACTTATTATTTAAATAAACTTTTATTATATTTTAATTATATATTAATTATGTAAAAAATAATGTATGTTTATTAAGATTTTCATTATTTTTATTATTGTTATATTGATTTTGATTACATTATTATAAATATTGATTGATTAACTTATTTGTTGTTTTATTTTTATTGATATATATATATATATATATATATATATATATATATTTTTCTCAGCGATTGCATTTATATATATATATATATATTGTATTTATATGTCCAAATCAATTATGCCATACCATGCCATGACTATAGTAACAAATAAATAAATACAACAAAATTGAATACTAATATTATTAATAAAAAAAATAAAAATAAACTACAAGTGCTTAGTTATATAACATTTACTTTATATACTATATATATATATAGATTAAAAAGGCTAACTTGTGTGTGTGTGTGTGTRTGTGTGACATATGACACATACACATACACATACACATACACATACACATACACATACACATACACATACACATACACATACACATACACATACACATACACATACACATACACATACACATACACATACACATACACATACACATACACATACACATACACATACACATACACATACACATACACATACACATACACATACACATACACATACACATACACATACACATACACATACACATACACATACACATACACATACACATACACATACACACACACATACACACACATACACACACATATATACACACATACACACACATACACACACATACACACACATACACACACATACACACACATACACACACATACACACACACACACAGACACATACACACACACACACACACACAYACACACACACATACACACACACATACACACACATACACACACATATATACACACATACACACACATACACACACATACACACACATACACACACATACACACACATACACACACACACACAGACACATACACACACACACACACATACACATACACATACACATACACATACAAACTTTTTACTACTGTTAATATAACCAACATAAATAAATACAGTAAAGTGTTTATATTATATATATATATATATATATATATATATATATATATATATATAAATATATATATATATATATTTATTTAACATTAAATTTGATTTATAAGTAAAAATATAGTTTTTTTTTATTATTATTATATATTACTTAATGTCATAAACATTGAACTTTATTTAATATAACATATAAATTGGTCACTTATATATGAAAAAATCTATATTTAAATGTATTTATTACTGTATATCTATATAAATAAATATATATATATATATATATATATTATATATACCAATAGTATATGTATAATATTATATTTAATACTGACTATTAATACAAACAACTAATTAAATATATATATATATATAAATATTTAATATTGAATTTTATTGTTAAAACAATAATAATAATAAAAACAATTTTAATTAATACTATTAATTTTGTTTAACAATATATATCATACTAGATATATATATATTTATAATATATATATAATTATTTAATTGTATGATAAAAATTGTAATAACCATTATTATTATTATTATTATTATTATTATTATTATTATTATTATTATTATTATTATTATTATTATTATTATTATTATTATGATAAATATATAGGAAATAATTGTTTGTTTTTTCTCCCAAACAAATTAYCCATTAATTTATTGGTAYTTATCTTATATATATATATATCATTAAATACATTTATGTGTCTTATATATATATATATATATATATATATATATAWAAATTAGATTATARTATTAAAATTAATRTTTCTATTGTATATTATAAACAATTATAACATATTTATAGAAAATATATATTAACCAATTAATTATAATAATTATAATAATATCAACAAATTGAATATATTTATTAAAAAATAATAATATTTATTTTATATTTACAAAAAATTAATCTATAGTTTATAACAACTAGAAATTAATATTAAACATAATTAATATAATTAATAACATTAATTGAAATAATTAATTAATTTTAGTATAATTTTTAAAAAAAATGTTTTGATAATAAAACATAATTTTGTATAAAACATATTATAATAGTTATTATCACCTAAATTATCACTTAATTTCAATATTAATGAGATTTATTTAACAAAAAAAATATATATTTATATATATATATATAATAAAATAAATCTGTTAGATAAACATCATATAATAGTAGCTAAATATTATCATTATCATTGTTATTATTATTATTATTATTATTATTAGTATCATTACTATGATATAATAAAATAATAAAATACATTACTATTAATAAAAATATATCTAATATTTAGTGATTATATGTTTATCTAAAAAAGCATCTATTATTATATAAATAATTTTTTAGTTAAAATATTATTATTATTATTATTATAATTGAAACATTTGTATAGAAAATTAGTAAATTATGTAATATTTTTTATATAATTTTTTTTTAAATTTCTATACATTTTTAAATATCCGTTTTTAATTAGTGACCTTCAATTAATAATATAATAAAAAATATTTTTACTTTATATATATTAACATTTATATCTAATTTATATAGTTTAACAAAATTAAAATTTAACATAATTTTCATCAAAAAAAAAAGTAATTAATTAATTAATTTCTATTCAAAATTATTCATTCAGTAAATTATTTATGACATTTAGATATTAGAAATTTTTTGTAATATTATATATATAAAAAAATATATAATAAATTTCAAACATTTAAAATTTTTGGTAAAATTATTGAGATATCTTTTTTTAAATATATATATATATATATATATATTATTTATTATTACTAAACATATATTTAGATTTTTGTTGTTTGTTTAAACTAAACTAAAATATAGGTCGTCATGTATATAATATCTATGTATATTATATTTAAATAAATAAATATAAAGATATATTTGTTAGTGTTTTTTTAAAAAAATAAAATAAAAATAAATAAATAGATAAGAATATTCTGTAAACATTATTATTAAATCATAAATAATATGATATATATATATATTTAGTTAGTTATTTTGTTACATAATATATGTTTTTCAAAAAAAATAAAATAAAATTATAATATTATATATAAATTTTTTGTTAACATTCAAAATATGTTTTATATTAATATAAAAAAGTTTTTCTTAATAACGAAATAAAAATTACATTTTATTTTTCGTTTTTTTTGTTGTATAATATTAAGATATAGTATATAATTTAAAATATTTTATTAATATATTAAACTCAATTTACTATAAAATATTATTTCATAATTTCATAAAATACATGTATATATATATATATATTAATATGTGACGGTTATATATATATATATATTTACGAAGCAATATGCAATGCGGGGTATGTTTAATAGGGAACTGTGACGTAATTACTGTACGGGTTGCTACATGAAGACTATTTAAGCGTTACGATATATATGGATGGTTTATCTATTACGCCACAGTATATATGAATATATATATAACTGCGCTGTATATCGGTTATTAGTATCGGAAGCCTTGTATCGTATTATCCGGGAAAAGCCGGAATTATACACCTAAGGCTTGCACTTACTATTAGTCAATGATTACATTTTTATACTTTTCTAAACTCTGATTTTATTGATAATTATAATGAGATAGTTAATGATTTACATGTATTGTAAATTACAGTATATTAGATAATTAATAATTAATATATTTATAACATCAATAATAATTTATAATTAAACATATATATAATAATAATAAATAGGATATTAATATAGAATTGATGATAATATTAAATATAGTTAATTATAATCAAATTAAGTTAATTTGATTAAACAGTATTTTAAGTTATAATAGAGAAATATATAATTATGTACAGTATAACTTAGTTATAATGTTAGTTAACTTTATATATTGATTTGTATTGTTGGAACCGCTTAGTGATGTTTTAACCATCACAAATATATAAATATTTATAATAATAATGTAGTAAACAATTTAATAAAATACTAGACTAAAATATTTTATATATTTTATTTATGTATATATAATTTAATAAAATTTATATACTGTATATAATATTCATATAGTAAATAAAATTAAATGCAAACAAAAAATATATATAATATATATAATATATATATATATATATTAATAATACAGTGATAATACAAGTATTGAATATTATAGTTGTTTATAATATCCAAAGCATCTGTTATTTTATTATTTATTAAAAACAATTTAAGTTTTAAAACATTTATTTTTTTTATTGTACACAACATTTACTTTTAGTCTCACTTATATTATTGATAATAATAATAATAATAATACTTTTTTTTTATTAGTGATGAGCTTATTGTAAATATATTGTATTTTTTTGCTGTTGTTATTATTGATAATTTTGATATATATGTATAGATTTATATATATATATATATATATATTATATATATATATAATGTTTCAAATTTTAGACTTTATATAGCAAATGAAATATGATATAATAATAATAATAATAATAATATTTTTTTGGTTATTAAATTTTAAGCAAAAAATTTTTTATCCAAACATACCCTTA